TACTTCCCATTATTGTCACCCGACACTATATTCACCCTGCCCTTTTAATGTAATTTATTCTTTCAGGTGACTTTTCCTTTAGGGGAAAGAATGATCATGCCCAAGAGCCACTCTCAGCCTTAGGGAGTTATACTTTCCACTGTATATTAATAAATTGGTGTTTCAAATTAGTCTCATGGGTATTTTGTTAATGTCAGTCTCTAGAAACTGATCACTCTGGGTCAATTAAAAAGACAAATATTAGAGTATTGAACTTACACTGGTGGACCGAGCAAGGGCCATAGTGGACCTTTCAGGATGCAGCTAAGCACGGTCAGTCTGGGGTAGATGGCATCTCTGGTCTGGCTCACATGGTGCAAGGACTAGAAATAAAGTCTCTTTTCTTCCACTCTTTCTCTACAGGGACAGATATTACCACATTCCCATTAGGCTAGGCAGTGTTCTGTGTCTTCATAAACTGGAAGAGAGTGGGAAGAAAGTAATTAGATGGACTAAGGAATTCGTGTGTATAACCCCTGAGATCTTGTGGGGTTTCCTAACTCAGCTCCAATTATGATGTCACTAGCACAACATCATTGAAAGTACTTGACTTGGGTTATTACTTTCTTGGCCTCAATCCAGATCCATTAAAATTTGAAGATGATTTTTTATTCTTACATCTCAAACTCTTGGCAAACCTCCAGAGGAGCATGCTCTCCCAAAGTAGTCACATTGTTTGAAGTTAGTCTAATTCAGACGGGTGAGTGAAGGCTGACTGCTAAGGAAACATCTGCTGGTCTGCAGAAAAGTGAAAGAGTAGAATCAAATATTTAAATTCATTCTCATCTCCATGATGTTTGTTATTTAACATTTGAATTTTCATGGGGTTGGAAAAACTCTTATCCTAGGAGAAATAACCCCATAGCCAAAGTTATTAGGACTCAGACAATAAAAGTTTTAATTAGACATATCTTGTTTGTTCTCATAAAAGCTAAAAACAACAGCAACTATTTTTTCCTTTCCTGTTTGACTTAATTCATTGAGAAATACTGTCACAGAAAACCTAAATACCTTCTGAGAAACAGTTTTACATGAGTAATACTTTTCCAGAAAGGAAAAAAAAGGCAACTTTTCCAGAAGGAGGAAAAACAAAAGCTCAGAGTGTCACCTTTTGCTGACAGAAGTTGCCCTCTGCTTTACCTGAAAAAAAGCATCAGCAAATCTTTCTAAGCCAGCCCAGAAAATGCCCATGGGCACCAAACCTGCAGTCTCAGAAACCACTAACAAGGTGATGGCTTTTCATTGACACTCTCTTCCCCTTTGCCAGAAATGTAAAGAAGATGACCTACCTCATAAACTCCTGGCTACCTTTGCTCCCCCTGAAGTCACAAGTTCTTTGTTTATCTTTTCTTTTTGAACCCTGGGAAAAGTATATCAAAGTGATTCAGCCTGCCAAAAGTTTGTGCACTTAGGAGCTGGCGCTGTGACAAGTGCCTGCGGAGAAAAGGATTTCTGTGTTTCTTAGTGTTGTTCTCTCCCTTGAGATGTTTCCAGAGACTTGAAAGGCAGGCTGGGCTGAGAAACTGATTAAAAGTCTCACATTCAAATGGAAAGTCGGTGTGAACCACTAGCTCTTCCCGCTTCCACTCCCAGCCCAGTAAGGCAGGTAGAGGGGATCACTTACCGCAGAAATTAGAGCTGGAAATGACCAGTCTGGCCCTCGTGCCCTTTTTTACCTGGCAAGGGAAGGATTGTGCTTGTGGTCTCCGTTGTTTAGTCTGGTTGAACCTTAAAACACGCTTCAGGAAGAGCACATCCTAAATTTCCTTTGAGAGCTTCCTCCACAGTTGAAAACATAGGAAACTAGTTCTGCTAATAAGCTGGAGATTTCTTTTGGTTAGGCACATCCCATTATTTTGAGGTAGTTCTGGCTTCCTCTGTGCTTTGTGGTCTTAGGAAATTATTTCTTTCTCCGCTTTCTCCACATCTGAAGAGGGGAATTGTAGCATCATTAAAATACTGTTTGGAAATGACTAGAGTCCTGGGGCTAGTGAGAGAGAGTTTAAAGTATTTGCTCCATGACCAGTCATATGTGGTTCAACATTTATCCAGAAAACTCTAGATTTTTTTCCCCCAAAATTGAAAGAAAGCATTGGTGGAGGTTAAAGTTGGCCTGCACTGATGTGGAGATGCCGCTCCCAGAACCTAGAGAATAATCCAGCCCCTATACTCTGAACTGTGCTGGATTCTGAGTTTCATGGGCCTGTCTGATGGGTGTCTTAGGCAACTGGAAGAACCAATGGTATTTTGAGGGAGTGAGCACCCCAACGTTCAAGGCTACCCAGTGTGCAAGTGGCCCTGAGCACCGGTGTCCACACGGCTCCATGTCGTCATGCACCGGTGAGCACCGGTGTCCACACTGCTCCATGTCCTCATGCCACCGGCTCCCCTGTCTAGTGCTCTTGCCTCACTCATTCCCTTCTGAAGTTGTCACCCTGGGAAGCATTTGCCAAACTGTTGAAACTGCAGAGCTGCTGGCTGGTTGCTCCCTCCTGTCCTGTGCTGGCCATTTATATGGTACAGTTCACCTGGCCAGTAAACTGAGTTCCGATGCTTAGGACAGAAGTGACAATTGGGGAATGTTTTCTTTTCTTGTGGTGGTATTGGGGAGAAGGAGGCCTATCAGAACTATTCAAATGGCATGACATGTAATAATTGACATCTAAAGCCAAGTGATACATTAATTTAATCTTCACTTCTGTTCCCATTAGGCAGGTACTATTGTTGTTCCTCTTTTGTAAATAAGCAAAGTCTTGGGGTGTAAGTAACTTGGTTGAGGCCACATTGTTTGTAAGGGAGGGACTGTGTATTTGGACTTCAATCTACTCATACTTTCCTAAATCATCAAGTGGTCTTAGTGATGGTGGTGATCCTACTAATAATACTAGCAAATATTTGTTGAGGACTTATGTACCACACCCTGTGATAAACCTTTCATGTATTATGCTATGTCATCCCCAGAATCATCCTATGACATAGTTTTAATATATCTCTTGATATAAGGAAAATAAAGGGCAAAGAGGCCAAGATTACATTCATACAACGTTGTTTCTTTCAAGGTTATGCTCAATGTTACATAGCTAGTAGGTTGCAGAGCTGTGGATTCAAACTCAAGTGCCCTGACTTTAAAATCTGTGTTTGTCTTATGTACCTGTCTTCCTTGATGACACCATATTTCTTCCCATAGAGGCGGCCCTGCCATTACAGTGGACATTATGCAGGTGTTCAGACATTAATTTAGAAACCAGTCCATTCATAATTTACCCCAGGACTCATTAACCTCCTGAAGACAGAGTTGGCACCCATAAAAGCAGCAGATTGACATAGTGCTCCAGCCTTACGCATTAATTCCCAGTATCATCTGGACCATTGTCCCTTTGCACTGATATTATGTAATTATATATGCTCCAGTAGAACCCAATGTTTCTCTCTTTGGTTTCTTGTCCTTTGTTACACATGCCAAATAATAACGTGAAAGTGCAACAGTGCTGTCTTTCAAAAGACCTTGTGAACTGGCCACAGAGTGGACAAAGCTAAAGAGAGAATTTGATTTTTGATTTTTCAGAGAGAGAGAGAGAGAGAGAGAGAGAGAGAGAGAGAGAGATCATTGCTTGAAAATCAGCTAAGATATGGATGTACAAGGTATCTATTCTCAAGCCATTGGTCTGAAGGAAGATGGAACCAGGTGAGACGTCCCTCAGTAAAAAAGTTGAGTCATTAGTTGAGAATATAAGATGATAAGACAGTCAAGGGACTGTGCATAAAAATGTAAAAAGCATTTCTATTCATTGCTTTGTAACACTGTGGCATGAACAACCCTGCTTGATTAAGCTTACAGATGAGAGAGTTATTTTTCCTTTCCCAGGCATTTAACATTTCTGAGTTCTTTGTGCTCCTTTGACCAAAGTGGTTGGTTCAAGGAGAATCACACAATCCAACTGTTACCAGTTCCTGGTCTTTTGCAAAAACAGTTGATTGAAGGAGACTTTATTTCCTGAGGGATTTAAATCTGGGATGGCACAGGCTCTCCCTGTTGATGGCCAGCACGGGGAGTGGGGGTGGGGGGCAGCAAATGAAGCCATTCTGAAGAGCAGTAGATCTGAGGGACAGAATCTTAGTCTAATTGGGTTTTGATGACAAAATACCATAGATGGGGTGGCTTATAAACAATACGAATTTATTTCTCCAAATCTGGATGCTGGGAAGTCCAAGATCAAGGCACAGGAAGATTTGGTGAGGACTTACTTCCTACATGGTCATCTTTTTGCTGTAATTTGATTTAGTAAACAGGACAAGAGATATCGCTGGCTCTTTTATAGGGGAAACTAATCCTATTCATGAAAGTTCTATCCTCATCATTTAATCATCTCCCCAAGGTCCCACCTCCTAATACCATCACCTTGGAAACTGAGAATTTCAATATATAAGTTTGATGATGGTAGGGGGCATGAGTCACGAATATTTAGCCCATAGCACACAGAGAAACAATATTTGAGCTTGTGATAAATACCCTTCCTGTTTAAACCAATCTGATTTGGATTTTCCAAGCTTTGCCACTCCAATTTCCACAGTGGGGGGCTGGGGATTTAGTTCAGCGGCACAGTGCCTGCCTGGCAAGCACAAGGTCGTGAGTTCGATTCCCAGTACCAGAAAAACAACAACAACAACAACAACAAACACAAAACAACACAGTGGGATTGATAGTGACAGACTGAGTCTTTTAAAAGTTAGATTAAGCAGGGAAAACCAAAGTGAGTATCTGGAAGGGTGTGGACCACGGTGCTAAGCCTGACCAGAGGCAGGCTTAAGACTGAATTTTTTTAAATACTTTTTTTTAGTAAAAAGGACTTATTTCTTTGTTAATAGGAAAATATTATATATACAATTTTAACATTTCCTAAAATTGCGATGCAGTCTTCTTATCACACTGCTCCTTTGTTTCCAACCCTTCCATATTCCAGGTAGGAGTCACGCATGTACTCCTCTAAACTCCCGTGATGACTGTAAGAGAGCTCGCAGATGTGCTTTAGCGCTTACACACCTCATCCGTCTTCCTTCTATAAGGTACGCTTTAGTCTTCTGTCACTTGAGTTAACATCTTTGCTAACCCAACATGTTTCTAAATGCGCTAATCTGGAGAGGTCAGTTACAGAGTTATCTGTCAAATGCAATAATAAATTTATTATGATAACTGCAAACTGGGAGACGATGATGAGTGATAACTTCCAGAGGCACGACGGCGTTTGACGGGGCAGCGGGGAGAGCACAAGCGTGGGACGGATTTGCTTCCTGGTACATCTTCCTTCCGCTCTGACGCGCACCATTCACAAGGAGAAGTAAATGGGAGCCCTTATTTGAAGAAAAGCCCCTCATGTAGGGTGGAGCCTCCACTTAAAGCCAAGGCCACATTTGTCCTTCCTGGCTGCTGTACTTCTGGCTAGGAGCGGGAATTACTCATAAGGGGAAGAGAAGAGGAAACATGGGGTCCTTACAGTGACTGAATTTACTAGCTGCTCTGAATTGGTTTCCTGTGTTTCTTCTTGGGGGAAGAATTCAGAGCAAGTGACCAGAAAAATGAAATAAATAAAATAAAATAAAAAAGTGCTCCTTCTGGGTTTTGGAATACCCTGGGGGTGCGGAGTGAGGAGGGGACATTTCTGATTTTCCAAAAGTCTTAAAATTAAAGCCTAAAGAGAAAATGTCTGCGCTCCTGTGTGTGTGTGTGTGTGTGTGGGGTATTGTTTTTGTGTGCTCCCAAAATTCTAATTTTAATGTTGTAGGCTGAATTCTCCTGAAAGCACATTCTTTGCATTTACCGCGTATCACAGATAAATACTGCTGACTATTGAAATTGAACTGGCCTATTCTACTCAAAATGGAATTTAAAAAAAAAAATTCTGAATAGAAGGACAGCTAAAGTTGCTAACTGATTGCTCTGCTGATCAAGCTGTATTCCATAGCAGCAGAAGCTGGAAAAATGGCATATTTATGTGGATAGGTACATGTGCCTATTTTCCTTTGTGTGTTACTGTATGAGTCATTTATATACTACTTAAGCAGTCATTAGATAAGACACTAATAATATTTATTTCTGAGATTTTATAGCATGTACTGTTTTTTCATTATGAATTTAGACATGTCTTTAGATAAAATGTTAAGAGATGAAAGTGTAGAGACTGGTGGATGGAACCACCATGTACCCATCACTGACATTTAATGCACATTTCCTTTACTTTTTGAAGCACTTGAAAGTTAATCACAGACCTACAACATTTCATCCCTAGTTACTTCCATGCACCTCTAAAATAATTCTTCTAGAACAATGCTGGTGTTATACCTATAAAAATTACTAATACCAGGAAGTATAAGCAACAATATTATAATTTTATGTTGCAATGATTACATTTTATGTTGTTTTAAAGATTATATTTATAATTATCTAAAAATTTGTATCATTGTCAATATGTAATTGTTTTACTTTTTATATTTGGTAAGATCTCAGTGTTGCATATGAAAGAACATATTTCTTGTATTCAGTTTTAGAGGTTTCAGTGAGAACTCCTTGAATGAATCTGCATCAGTTCTTTCCCCCACATTCTTTAACATGTTTTCTGTTCAGAATACACGTGCTTTGGCACCAGGGATAATCATTTATTCCTTTGTGTTTTTTTTAAAGAAATAGATGGCTTACTGTGAGAGCAGTGGAATCTCCCCTCAAGCCATACCTCTGGTGCACATGAGAACAGATGACACACTAACCGCTTTCTATTCTGTGGGGTTCACGTCACCATCTAATGTGTTGGGTGGCTGAGTATAAGAATTTCTATGTTAGACTTTCACAGATAGCTTCTCCGAGGACCTTGTTAGAAGCCACGTGTTTTGACAATGTATGTGGATGCTTTATAAAAACAACTATTAGAAGGTGACCAGCACAAAATCATCTTGGGTACTTGGAAGAGCTCAAAATTTGAATAAAAGACATGTGTTGAGTTTCAGCTTTCTGATTATTAGCTATATGGCCTTGGGCCAATGAATTGAGCTCCAGTTTCTCAATCTGTTAAACAGAATGAATCATAAAGTCATGAGTATTAAATAAGATAAAAAACATTTGAGAAGTACAGTGTTGACATAGGTGATTGTGAAGGAGTGAATTTTATTCTTTATTGACATAGGTGATGTGTTACGGAATGAATTTTACCCCACTCCCCAAATCATATTGGAGACCTACTATCCAATGTGACTGTACTTGGAGTTAGGACTTTTAGGAGTTAATTAAGGTTTGATAAGGCCATAAGGGTGGAATCCTAATCTGATAAGGCTGGTGGCCTTATGCGAGAGGAAGACATCTCTCTTTCTCTTCTTTTTCTCTCTGAACACGCACAGAAGAAAGGCCACACGAGCTGGCAGCTACTGGCATGCCAAAAGGGGGACCAGACCGTGTTGGTATCCTGATCTTAGACTTCCCGCCTTCAGAATTATGAGAAAATACTTTTCAGTTGTTTAATCCACACCGTGAATGGTATTTTGTTGTGGAAATCTGAGCTGATTAATGTAGGGTAGAAGAAAAAAATACATCCAATGGATAGTCTTCCTGTCTATTTCAACTACAAAAAAGTCAAGATACTGCAGTGGGTTTGTGTCATAGAAGGAAAAAAGGCAAAGTAATACAGCAGAGAGAGAAAAAACATGGTCTGGAACGACAGCACTGTGCTTCTTAATGCTCGGTATGGAGCTTCAGTCCTCTGTGTGATCTTGGGCAAGTCACTGGGGACTTTAGTTTCCTAATTCTAAAATAAAGGTAAAAACAGTTTTTTAAAGGTCTTCCTTCTTCCTCTTGGAAGTATATCTGAGCTGCCACAATCATTCTCTTCTCCTAATGAAACAATGAAAAATAAAACACTTGAGAACTTTCTAGGGTTGCGGGGGGCCATACTTTTTAAGTGATGCTGATACTCTTGCATCTGGAAAAGCACATAGTATTTGTCTGGGAGGCTGACCTGCTACTTTCTCTCTGGAGTTCATTCTTGTACCTGGTCTTTATGTTAAGTAGCTTATAGGTAGAGCTGATACATTTTGAAAATTCAATAGACAGTTATAGTGATATTATTAACCCAAATGAAAGTACATTAAATCTTATTTTATACCTTGTTTTGAGCCTGGCTTTGTCACAATGATTTTGAACGTTTGTGCACATGCACAAACTCATAGCTAAATACACTGTAGTAGCTTGAAATGTCAGCCTGGAGCTTGCGAATGTGACCTGATTTGGAAAAATGATCCTTGCAGATATAACTAAGTATCTTCAGGTAAAGTCATCCTAGGTTATCTAGGGGGGCCTTGTAAGAGGCATATGGGGAGAAGACACAGAAGGGCAGAAAACTGTGAAAGCAGAGGCGAACATGGAGTAATGCAGCCATAGCCGCAGAATGCTGGGACCACCTGGCAGCTGAAGGTGGTGACGAAGGATTCTCCTTCAGTGCCTTTGGAGGGTCATGGCCCTGTGCATGCCTTAGATTCTTTACTTCCAAAATCATGAGAGAATAAATGTATGTCTTCTATAAGCCACCTGATTTGTACTAGTGTGTTGTGGAATTCTAGTCATCTAATATATAGACTCTTATTTTGATATAGATTTATCATATACCTCTTCCTATCAGATACATTAACTAGATTTCAATGACTGTGTATCTTCTGGAAAGGCAAGCATAGCTCTAGAATTAAATTCCCAAGCTCTGGGTGCTCTGACATCAAAATGAGTAGTTAACAGTGTGCTAATATGTTTTTGGTTGAGGGCAGAGCAGTCTTTCAGGTCGACAGTATTAGTTCAGTTTTCAGACTTACAGGGATAGTGGTAAGGTCGAGAGAAAAGGTGACTTTTTGTGTGAACAATGTTCTTCAACCTCCGCACCACTGACCCTGGGGTAGAATAATACTTCATTATGAAGCGGGGGACACTATGAATGTGGAACAAGAAACATCCTTGTCTGCTGTTCACTAGGTGTCACCAGCCCCTCCTCCACCCTTCCCCAGTTGTGACATCACATCAAAAATGTATCCAGACATTATCAAATGTCCCCTGGGGGTGGGAACAGAATCACCCCCTACTGAGAGCTGCTGGTTAAAAAGATGGCAAAAAGTATAGGCACTGTGGTATTGATAACAAAATTGCCTGAGAATAATATCAGTAATAAAACAAATTCAGAAGAAAGTTTTCTATGGAGAACTACTTTCCTAATAATGATAACTGATTCCACTGTAACCCTAAATAAAAGTGGATCTATATGAGAAAAGATGTGTCATGATTATTGTTTTGACAATGTCTAGTGTCAAAGCGAATCATCCTGACAAAAGAGAGCTCTTGTCTATTTATCTAGCTACCTACACACACATGTATATATGTACACAAAACATGCTCATACATGTATATATACACACAAAAAAGTGCCCATACATGTACATATGTGTGCATGGATAAAACTTTCCACATATTTATAGAAATGTCTACAAGTACTCACATATGTATGGAACAGATATATGCATACATATTTAAATGCTTATTTACAAAGAGGGCCACAAAAACATTATACTTTACTGTGTTGCATAGATAGTCTTCATTTCTATTAATGAAGAAATGGATTTAAAACCTCTGAGAAAGTACTTCCTTTAGAAAGAGCCACAGCCCACATTAGCACAAGTATAAAAAGTTCTGAGTGGAACAATAATGTTGGTATTGTTCAAAAACCCTCCCTTCCCTCACAAAACCAAGACGCACTCAGCTAATGTGAAAACAGAATTCTGTTCTTTCATTTGTTCTCTCCAGAGTGCTTATTACGTGCTTGGAACTTCGTGATCTTCCCCGTTCTGTCCTGTGAGTCACACAGCTGAGAACCCCTCTATTTATGTGCACTGTTGCCTCATGTGCTTTATAAGTCAAGGATAATTACAGTGAATCTGTTGTTCTAAAACGTACGTGGCAAGCTTGGGATCTTCTACTCCTAGAAAAATGTACACAGCAGGGAAAAGTTTCCCTGGAGAACATTTAAATTCTTCCTTTAGGA